TATATATATATATATATATATATATAATAATTATTATTATTATTGTTATTACTTATTTTTAGTCCTAATCTCAGAACAAGAAATTCAGTTTGTCTTGAGTGAGTATTTATTATCAAACTCTTCACTTTCTGGAGTTAGCTTAGAGCTAAATGCTAACATCCAGTTTAAGAGGAAACTGTAAAGATCAGCGTTTTTTTTTACCTTTGCAGCCACAATAACAAAGTCCTTAAAGATCTTTAGCTCCTCCCCTTCCAGGGTATTATGGGTAGCCAGCTCAATTCGCAGGAGGTAGTGCAGGGCTGACTCCAGATCAGCCGTGTAGACCTCCGACCTGCAGCGGAGAACACGTCTATTTTAGTTCACCGACTCGGAACAGACGCTGAAAAACAAACAAGCATCGACGACGTCTCCGACCTGTTGAAGTCTCTCCACGGCTTTGCGCTCTGTTTGTCAAGCTGCGCCCCCTCCTGACCATTGAAACTGCTGCCGTTTGACTTAAACCGACGCTGAACCCCTGGTAACGTTTTCAGCAGCGAAGAGATGAAGAAACGAAGACTCTTCCAACTGAAACGTCATTAAGAAAGAGTAAGAAACCACTGCAAAAAAACACAGACTCGTTATCAACGAACAAATCACGTTCTCTACTGGTTTACTAATTATTTCATATTAATTAATTTTGAATTTTTAAACAATTTAAAGAGTAACATTTCCACTTCGTATTTGGTATTTGGGTTTACACAGTACTACGTATTTGAGTATTTGCTTCCACTCACACGTGCAGATGTGTGTGAGTGCCGTTTGGATGCAGCAGGTAAATGGATGGGAAGCTTTTGATTTCCAGGGTGTCCAGCAGGGGGAGATCGGAGCTCAGGGCTCTCTTTACCTCCACCCCTGAAAACTGCAGCAGGTCGAGGATCACCTAAACACACACACACACACACACCAAACACACATACACAATACACACACACACAAAAATTACAATCATAAAAATGTATATTTAATCCAGTTATTTATGTTTCCGTTCATGGTGCGGAGTGAGGAAATACCTCTCTGCCCACGTAAGAGCCCGGCTCCTCGACGATGACGGCGGAGTAGTGATCGGACTTCTGACCTAACAGAGGCAGCAGCTCCACAGAACTATAAACAAAAAAACAGTAACAGGAAGAGAATGAGAGAGAGAGAGAGAGAGAGAGAGAGATTTGATTGGTTAAACCTCAAATACACAAAATACCAGATACAAAAAAAAGAAATCTGCGTTTAAACCAAAAATTTTTTTTTATCACCAACCACTGGATATTAAACCCCTTTGAATAGGAGAGCACACGAAAAAAAAATTGTTTTTTTTTTGGTACTCGTTAAGATCTCCAGGTCATTGGAGGTATACAGCGCCATCAGAGAGTGATGCTCAGCGCCATTTACAGCCAGCTAACCAACGTAGCACTGGCTCAGAAGACTGAAAGTGCATTTCTTATGTCCAGAAACAAATATTCAATATTTACCGAGTCGACCGGATGGACGTCAGAAGAGGAAGTACCTGTAGGGCGTTAGTGGAGGACAGTGGTCGGCCCAGGTCAGCCTGGTGTGCTTCTGTAGGATGTTGACCATCAACTGTCTCATGGTCTTCAATTGTCTGTCGGCGCCTGAAGACGAGACGAGTCACACGTTTTCACGTCAGTTTTGGAGCCAGTCCACAGAACGACAACAAAGGATCGGTTTCAAATTTTGATAGAAAAGTGTGAATGAGTAAAAAATTAACATTTTTATACAGTAAAATTTGTTGTGACTTTTGCATTATAGTTTATCTCAATATTTCAATATTTCTATTTTTTTCTTTTGTTTGTACCTATGCTGATTCACCATTTAACTGTTTCTCAAACTACAGCACATGGTACCACCGCTAGTACTTGGGCTCCTTCTTGTGGTACAGTGGGGAATCTCATTTTCTTACACGACATTGTCAAAAATAATGTCAAATAATTAAGTACATTCACTAGCCACGTGGTTATTAAAGATAATTATAGATATTATAGTAAACTTAATTACTCTGTGTAGTCTGAGTATTTGAAGTACAACTGAAGGACTACTTCACTGAACGGTGTGTCTTTGGCTGTACTGTAGTACTCTTCTTCCTACGCAGTATCCTATAGCTGAGCAGTACACGCCTGTGCCGCAGCTCATACTCGTAGTGCTTGGTAGTACTCTGTGTTTATGCAGTACTAGAGTACTAGACACTGGCTGTTTCTAGCTAGGCCTCCTCGGAATGGGTTAGGGTTAATTAGTCTTAATTAAAACCGGTTACATGCCGTTGCTACGGCAACCGTCGGACGCTCACGTACCTGAGTAGATGGTCCCTCTGTCTGTGGGCGCAGCGTGAGCCTGGAAATACTGCAGAGCACAGGACACAAAAAGTACCGTGAGAACGGAGCAGAGGTACTACAGCGTGGTACTACTGCGGCGGTGGTTACCGCACGTACTTTGAAGGTGGGGTAGAACTTGATGCCGTACTCTTTACAGAGGTCAAAGTGCTCTATCTGAGAGGGAGGGGGGGGTAGGGGAGGGACAAGACGGGGGAGGGACGGGAGGGTGAGAGAAAGTACATTACCTACATTAATACTATTCACGTAGTTTGCATGCACAAATCACGGATAAACAAAGTTTGTGCAAAATGTTTTACATTTTCTCCGTATGTGTGTGTGTGTGTGTGTGTGTGTGCGTTGTCGACCAGCTGTCTCTCTCTCTCTTTCTCTTTCAAAGCTCAGCTGTTCTTTGTGTCTCTCTAATGTCTGTCGATTGACAGCAGGTTCCCTTGAAAAGAGCAAGTGTCTGAGTGTGTGTGTGTGTGTGTGTGTGTGTGTCTGAGCGTGTGTATCAAAAGAAGCAGCAGCTGGTCTCTAGTTGAATTATCCCCCAGAGGCACATGACAACTAAACACAAGGGGGCGTGGGGGTGGAGGGTCTTCCCACCAGTTGCTCCAGCAGAAGGTGCGTGTGTGTGTGTGTTTTTATATATTTGTGGGGACACTTTTTTTAAAGGGAAAAAATACCATAGTTTTGTATGACATTGTTCAGGACCCCACTGATTTCAAAGAGAGTTTTGAGGTTGATGTTAGGACTAGAATTCGGGTCAGATTTTAAAAAAAGGCTCCGGATTAGGATTAGACCTTTATTTATTTTACTAGTTAACTTTTGGGTGCTCACAAAACACCCCAGAACCAGTATCTCTGTGTGCATGTGTGTGTATATCTCTGTAGACAGCGGTGTGGACAAATAATAAAACAGAAATGTTAAGTAGACCAGATATTTTCTGTGACCTCATCATGTTGAAGGTCACAGAGGTCACCGTGGCTGACGTTATCACCAAAAACACAAAGGTGACAGTGGACGAACGTATGCATACAGTCCAGGGCACATTTAAACAGCTTGTTTAAACTTTTAAAAAACATATATATATTACAATATATATTTGATTTTTCATTGCATTCGACACAAACCCCATTTAAAACGAATTTAAAACAAATTAAAGGTTTTATTATACTATTTATTATATTATTATAATTCAAGGTTTGAGCTGTGACTTAAGAAAGGCTCCTCTGGGGAAAAAAACAAACTTGTATTAGCTTAACAAACAAAAAAAACTGAGCAGGTGAACAACAAATATTTCAGGTGTTGAGTAAACAAGAAGCACTCATTTACCGCTGTCTTTCCATGTGAAAAGATTAAAAACCGCAGCTGTGTATTTTATTAAACTTACTGTGTGTATCCCTCATCAAACTGCCTCCGACCTGTATAATTATGAGCTTATTTATATTTACAAGCTTATTTAAAAGGTTTAATAACCTTTTAAATAAGCTTATTTGGAGGCAGTGGTGGCCTAGTGGTAAAGGAAGCGGACTTCGGTCCGGAAGGCCCCAGGTTCTAATCCACCAACTGCCAGGTTACCACTGAGATGCACTGAGCATGGCATCGTCCTCAAGCACTGCTCCCCGGGCGCTGACCACGGCTGCCCACTGTTCACTTTGGTGATGGGTTAAATGCAGAGGGTAAAAACATATATATTACAATATATATTTGATTTTTCATTGCATTCGACACAAATCCCAATTAAAACGGCTGCAAATTAAAGGTAGGATTATACTATTTATTATATTATTATAATTCAAGGTTTGAGCTGTGACTTAAGAAAGGCTCCTCTGGGGAAAAAAACAAACTTGTATTAGCTTAACAAACAAAAAAAACTGAGCAGGTGAACAACAAATATTTCAGGTGTTGAGTAAACAAGAAGCACTCATTTACCGCTGTCTTTCCATGTGAAAAGATTAAAAACCGCAGCTGTGTCACCTTCAACAGGTTTCAAACGTTTCCCTCATCAAACTGCCTCCGACCTGCGTGTGTTCTGCTCTGCCTGCAGGGGGCACCACGGGCCTGGGATTTAG